CTTATCCAAGGATGCATCATCAAAGCTGCAGACAAATATATACCTATACGACACTCTTCAGCCCATTCAAGAGATTTGCGTCCTCGTTTACTTAAAAATATGTACAAACAACTGGTAGCCGTCCAGAAATTACAACGTCTCACCAAGCAAGGCCTCCGTATATACGCTGTTCCCAAAAATTAGACTACTGTCTATCAACAAGCATTTCCACTGATCTCTTACTACAAACTTCCTTGGCCCACCGTTATTTCACCAACACTACAAGACTCAAAAAATGCCCAACCATTTCTTTCTGACCTATACAGAGTTCATATAATTGCGATCAAACTCGAAGAAGATAAACATAAATCCAAACAGATCAAGGCTGCGCTAAAACATCATTGCGATAACTTTCATGATGACCAATCTAGAATGTTCGACTCTATTCTTGGTAGAAAACGTCACACCATAGTTCTTGATTGGTGCCTAGATAATTCGGCCAACGACCTTGGCCTATTAACAACGGCTGACGAAGTCAAATGGGAAACCAATCGACATTTTCAACAAACCACAGGTACACATCACCATTTCGTTGAGCTCACTGACGATTGGAAACCTTGGTATGAACCACTTTCTTCCATCAATGAATCAATATACGATCACCTTATGGAACCACCGAAAGAAGATGAATGGTATCAACTTCTCAAAACGTTACCCAATGATAAAGCGCCCGACCCTTCTAAAGTCTCGAATGAAATGCTAAAACACTTAGGTCCTAAAATGAACAAAATCTTTTAGATGTTAGCTTGCGCATGCTTAACATTGTCCTGTACGCCTGATCGTTGAAACCTCGCCTTCGTATACTCTATCCCTAAACCGAAGCCCTGGAAATACAACTTCAACAACACTCGCCCTATAACGTTGTTGGAATGCCCACGAAAAGCGTTAGTTAAATTGATTAATAAACGTTTATTGGATACGTTGTCCAAGGAAAATGTCCTAAAAGGTCACAACTTCGCTGGTCTGCCCTTCCGCTCTACTTTCGAACCCATTCATATCATGGATAACATCAAATATGATTGTCTTTCAAATAAAGAAAAAGATCTTTGGATTTTATTTCAGGATATGTCCAAGGCCTATGATCGTGTAAATCTTGCCATGCTCCTGTGTGCACTCAACCGTCTTAAACTTCCTAACGCATTTCTGAACTTTGTCGCTTCACTTTTTTCAAACTGTCTTAATCAGATTTTTACCGCGCACGGTAACACTGATTTATATCCCGTTTTTTCAGGGATCGATCAAGGAGAGATTATCTCTCCAATCTTGTGGTGTATATATTATGATCCCCTACTTTGTCGCATCCAAAATACCTCGCTTGGTTATAATTTAACAGCAGAATGGCGTCCTAATGTCAATTTTTCAACTACATCCTTAGTGTCAACCAACATTTCCATACTTGCATATATGGATGATACGCTCTGGATTAGTAAATCCAAAGAAGATTTAGAAACAATCCTTTCTATAGCAGATTACTTCTATCAACTCAACAGTATATTTGTCAATTGGGATAAGTCTGTCCTTCTCACCTCAATTCCTATCGCCCAACCAGTACACTTCAAACTTACACACAATGAAGAATGGATTAAACCCTTAGACTTAAAAACATCTACTCGATATTTAGGCATTTGGCCGAGTGGAAGAAGGAGGGAAAAAATTGGTTGGCATTGTCATGGATTAGGTCAAAAACGTTAAAAAGCTGT